TATATATATATATATATATATTCGTACCATCCTTGCACCCTCAAGCCTATTATGTAAGGTTTATTGGAAAATCTTGAATATATAGAACCAAATATGATTCAAATAAACATTATACATTGTTTAAAATAATTCTTAAGCACTAAAGAAGTTTTTTAATGAAAAATATTTTTGTGTCACCTTTGTACTCTCATTATTAAAAAGATAAGTTCATTAAAAAAATCAATATATTTAAAATAGCTAAACACATTGTTTAAAACAAGATTAGAGATTCGATAATATCATTTTCTTGAAAAATATGCTTTTATATTTTTTATAACCTCATGCCTAGAAACATCATATGAAACAAAATGTCAAAAAATGTGATCTGAACCTCGAAAGAATTTTAAATAATACATTTTAACATGATATAGGATTTATGATATTAAATTTATCGACGAGTTTAAATAATTAACATCGATAGCTAAATTCATCGTTATTTCATTATTATTGACATTTTGTAGACTTTTCATCTTTAAGTTTGTCACTCCGTCTATCAATTGCCACATATTTTTTCTCTTTGATACTCTGAAAGTACATTTTTAAGAGATTTCTTTCATTAAAGACTAAACCTAAACCCTAATATTTCATTTTTTTTCTATCAAATAAATCATGTATGTTTCGGGCGGGGTCGTACGATGCATTGCTAAAATTGAATATGGGGTTTATATGTGGGTCCCAAATGAGGCCGAATATGAGCTTTATATGTGGGCCTCAAATGAGCCGCCACACCTCAATATGTTGTTGTAATTAGGATGTAGATATACATTTGGACTCTTGACGTGAAATTTTTTCTCACTTGTGAGGACGTTTGCTCTCGAGGAGAAAATATTGAGAATGTAAAATGTGCGTATGGACAACCAATCAAGATGAAATACACAATAAAGTACACCCCAGTAAGTAAAATAATGCTTAAATTAATCTCTCAATATTTTCGATCCGTCGAGGGCACTAACATGCCCGGAACATGCGAATAGGCCTTAGGTATTCAAATAACGGTTAACACATGCATGAACATTTGTGTTTAATAGCATCCTTACACCCTATCAATATATGGTTTTATTTATTTATTTATTTATTTATTTATTTATTTTGTATATTTAGCACAAAGTCAACAATTGAGAGGTACAAGAGCACAAGTGCTAACGGTCCAAACTCTGTCGTGGAGATTAACTCTCAAGTAAGCAATTTGGATAGAAGTAGATTAAGCTTATTTACCGTTCACATTAATGAGTTTAGCATGTTGATTTATTATTTATTTAGCAAGTTTTGTTCCAGATTTTCCAGTTTATTTACTCTATCAAATTCTAAGAACTTTTGTTCTGCTCATGAAGGTATACAAGAAAGGATTTATTTTCTTTAAGGAAAATTTACATATGCACCACACAATTCTTATGAATTTACATATATATGACCCATAATTTGATATTTACATTTATACCGCCTTTGTGCTATAAATTTATGCATAAAATGTTGCATTTGGCTTTAAAAGGTTACTAAAAGTTGCATTTTTGATGTGATATTAAAGATTGAGTGATATGAGTTTAAATATTAAAGTTTTGGTGTTTGATATGTAAATACATAGGAATTGTGTGGTATTTATGTAAATGTCCCTTCTTTTAAGGGAAATTGATATAATTGATATCCATTTTGTTGGCTTATTTCTGTGGAAGAACATAAGAAAACCTATGATTTCAAAGTTGTTTAATTTAGTTTTGTCAAAATCTGAAGTTTTGGGAGTCATTAAACAAGTTCAATAGGCATAATTAAGAAGAAATGGGCTCATAAAAGCTGAATTGTTAGGGTTGCAACTGAATTAATGAAAACAAAAACATATAAAATCTTAATAAAATTAATTAAAAAAAAAAGTTTAGCTGTATTTGAGGTAAATCTTGCTTAAATCCTGCTTATAATAATCTCATGCTGCTTGTCCCAATAATCTTAACGAGCTCTTGTTGAAATTAAGCTTAATCAAGCTTGTTAAACTTGTGTTGATGCAAAGCAAAAAAATATTTAAATGATCAGATTATTAAGGTATATAATGATTCTCTTCATAGAGCTAATTAAAAACTAACTTATGTTGTCCTTTTTCAAGCTTGGATAATGAAAAAATTCAGATTTTATGAGGGCAACATAAAAATTTCATTTAATTACAATATTTGTCACTAACTGCTAAATCATAACTTTTTTACTTGAATTACATCATTTACACTTTAGCAGCTGAACATTAACTAAATTACCTAATGAACTTCTTTTTCAAAAGTAACCATTAAATCATAATAATGAGCAAAGAATGATGTTTTTAAGTAATGACTAAGCTTGGTTTATAAGGTTTATTTACTCATCTTCTCCAAATAATGACTTCAATGCAGCAATACTATCAGCAGGAAGCAGCAAAGTTGCGTCATCAGATGCAGATTTTGCAAAATGCAAATAGGTAAGCTCTCATAGAACAATAATTCTATTTTATAAGAAAGAATTTTTGAAAGTCTGCAAGTGGGGTCAGGAGGAACATATTTGTCTATTACCATTTTGACCTCATAAGAAATGCATGGGGTTTCCCTGGATATATATTGTTTCAAGGTAATTACAAAGTTTGTTTGAATATACTAATCTTTTTGCCCACCACATTGTTATCTAGGTTATCATATTAATATTATCATCTATATTTAATATTCATTAGGAATCTATAGTACCTATTATTATTATAATATATTTTGATTATGGAGAACATTTTGTACTTTTCTTATTTTTCTTTTTTTTTTATCTTTATTTTTCATATTTGCACTACCATTTGAATTATTCAAATAACTTAGATGTTTTTAATATTTATTGCATTGTCGGAGCCATGGCTCTAAATCAATCTCATTTTTGTTTTTTGTTTTTTTTTTGTGATGATTTCATCTCTCATAACAGCTCTGCGCACGATAATTCATCGTGTTCCCTTTTTTGAAGAAAATATGTTTCATGATAATTTTCACTTTCAGTCATAATAAAGGTTAGTTCAATATTGATCTCGCAATTATTTTGAGCTCTTTCTAAAGCACATCTCATTCTAGTGCAGGTTGGATTGAATTGTTAATTTTGAAGAGTTAGACAACTTTTGGTGTAAATTTCTTTGTTATTCTTGCACTATACACATCCTTAATACTCCTTGTTGTAGTATTGAGAATTTAAGCAAGGGTTTTAGATTTATTTGAACTGTTATTTCACCATTTTCATATTATCCCATGCATTTAATATTTATTAGGAAGTTAAATTATTTATTATTATAATATATTCCTATAATTAAGGATATTCTTGTTTCTTTTACCTTTGTTATTGTGCTATTTTTTATAATAGGAATATGTGTAATAGCATTAGAATTTTTCAAATAAAGTTGTAACTTTTTATAAAGAATGTCACACTTCACACATAATAATTGAGAACTAAACTACAATTGTTCCTCCTAACACGACAAATATTTTTAGGCACCTAATTGGTGAGGGTTTGGCTTCTCTATCCATAAAAGAACTCAAGCAATTGGAAAGCAGACTTGAACGAGCCATTACAAGAATTAGGTCAAAGAAGGTAACACATTTTGAATTTTTTGACTTAATCTATTTTGAAGAGAATTAAGTAAGAGTTCCTCAGTCAACACTGTAATAAGTAAGCATAGACAAGAATAAGTTGGTAAGATTAGCCAATAAATAAAAATAGAGAAAAAATGAATTTTCTTGATAGTATTTGCTAATCTTGTGGTGTTTTCTTTCTTAAGCAAGAGATGTTGTTTTCAGAAATCGAGTTCATGCAGAAGAGGGTAAGAGCCACTATTTCACACCACTCCATGAAAAATCATAATTCATATTAATTATCTAGAGTTTAACATTTTTTAACTTCCTTATTTTGACTTGTAATTTGGATTTACAGGAAGAAGCTCTACAAAGTGAAAATATGTTTCTTAGAGCGAAGGTAACAACAAAAATGTCTCTCTTCATTTATTTCTCTTGAGAATTCTCGATACATAAACACCAAGATTTTTAAGCTAAGTTCTTAGACATACTTATATGGAAAAAATGTTCAAGCAAAGCATTGATTAGTGAAGAATATTACACAACTATTGTCTATAAGTACACCAAAAATATATTATCAATTGTCACTAATTATTGTAAGTGATTAGTGATATTTTAAGGGTTTATCGTGTGCTCTTCTTGAAGTCTTCTATTATTTCTCCTTTTTGACAGCTATTGTTATAATTTTTGTCACACTATTGTTTACCAATATAAAGAAAAAAAGAACACATTAATATGAGCTTGAGATCTCTTCTTCATGTGACATGTATGGCCATTATTTTAGTTTATTAAGGCAGAATCCAACATCTTGCATGGGTTTCTTTATTGATTCCTTTTCATGTGAACAAAGCCCTGCAGTTATTCTATGCTCTTGCAATTTTTCACTCATCCCATTTTAACATCCCCCTCTACTTGTTGCTAGCATAGTGTTTTTTTTTTTCTCTCACCATTCTTATTCTCTCATATAAACCCCTAAGCCTCATGCCCAAACTCTCTCTCTCTCTCTCTCTCTCTCTCTCTCTCTCTCTCTTCCTCTCTCTCGCTCATAGACTTTCCAATGTATGTGTCATTATCATTCACTATGCCACCTCCATGAACATGCCTTTGTAACCTTCTTAATACGAGAAAATAAAAAAAAAATTATTGTTTGTTGGGAAAAATTGTTTGTTTGCAAACTCAAATTCCCTCTTGAACCTCCATAATGTAAATTAGTTGCTCCATATTCCAATAATTAGGGAGCATCTCTTAGTATTTCATATTTTGTAAGTGACATTGTGTTCCATTTTGAAATTATTTAGATCTACATCACCTTCTTAGAATGATAAAAATAACAAAAAAGTGAGGAAAAAGATTATTTGCAAAATTGATTGATATATCTTTCCAAAACTTTAATGAAACAAATCACGTGACACCCCAACATGATTGTGCCCCATAGCTTTCCCTATAAAACAAGTTGCTCCGAGCTTTACATATCATTTGCTTGAGCATGCCTTGTAGTTTTCTTGACAAGAAAAACACATTAAACATTAAAAAAAAAATTGTATCATTCTGATTTTGATTGTTTGTTACTTAAACATCTATTAAAACTCATCTATTGACTTGATTAAGTAGTAAGGCTCTAAATGATCAATTAATTGCAATGAATTTAAAGACTCGGTTAATTGAAAAAATGATCTCAAGAAATGTTGATTAATCAACATTAGAATTAGTTGATCAGAGATAAAATTGGTTAATTAATAACATTAAGGTCAAATAGAAAAGAATGGTGAAAGCATTAACCAAGTAAATGTAGATAAATATTCAATGTGCAGCTTTTGTTATATTTTATACCTAAATAAACTCGTTCAAAATAAAAAATAAATAAAGTCAAGATGGATTTGAATCGCATGAGGACCTTGATAACCATGTCTTTACATCAATAATTGTATATGCACATTGGGAAGCATCTAATACAACAGAAGCGATGTAGTTACTAGAGATTGAACCAGTGACTGCCCCTCATATTTTCATATCAATAATATTAAGGAAGGTCGAGAAGACCAAATATTGAGATATCAGAAATGATAACATGATGGTTTAAAGAATGAATCAAATACTAATAATAATGGTCTTTGGTCAGAACCTGCTCCATTAAGATGAAGAACTTTAAGTACATTGTAAGTACTGAAACATTCCTGATTTACAAAAACTCGATCCAATCTCTCCCTAAAATTCCCCCTCCTTCAAAGTGAATTTAGGACCATTGGAACTAAGATCAAAGTGATTAGTCTCCCTAGCCATGTCACAGAACTTTAAGATGAGAGAAGGTTCAGCCTTCCTACCTCCCCTTTTTTCTGAGCTTTTCCTAATCATATTAAAGACGTCCCACACAAACTATCTTTCCAAAGCAATTCCACCTAAAGTAATTAATTTACTCCAGAGTTCCAACCTAGCAGGACATATAGAGCTTGCATAAACAAATGCGGCCAAACCCTTTGAAATCGTCCTTTTCAAAATATACGTGAAGAAATTGAGAATCGTCACCAATCAAGGTCAAGGTGATTTTTTTTTTTTCCAGAATAACCAAATTTTCTTTGAATAATTCCTAAAAAATGAAATTTTTTAAAGTTTCTAAGAACCTTTTCAACATTTACTACAACTAAGGGTTCCAAAACAGTAAAAAATTTCAACTTGTGAACCCTGCGCAGAAATTTTATTCTATTAAGGGAGAGTGTGTCAGCTAATCCCCTAATATTCAAAAATAGTATGTTAAACATGATGCATCAATTTTCCTCTCCTAGATCCTCTAATAAGGTTGTGTTGATGCGCTCCTTCAGAATAGTAACCTTCCTCAGCATTAATTATATTTTCCTCTCTGAAATGAAGCAACTCATTAAATCTCTTCTTTCTTTTAAATTTCTGAATAATCAATCCTTCCCTTGCAAAAAAATGTTATTGTTATTGTTCTCCACCACTCCCCCTTCTTCCACCTCAACAACCTCAGCATTTACATCCCCTCTGCATTTCTCCACCTCCTTATCAAAAGAAACATCCCCATTCACCTCAGCCTTAACAGTAACATCATCACTTGCCACTCCAACCACCTCCTTTGGAGTAAAGGCTGTATCTTCCATTGATAGGTTGACATCTCCCCTTTTTAGTATCACTGTTTTTCAGTTCAGGTTGTAAGTGTTAACATTGAATTTCAAAATAACCAAACATCCTGCAATTAGAACAATAGAGTGGTTGTTGTTCAAGAACCACTTTCTGTCATTATCCATGGTGAGAAGATCCAATCCAAGTTTCTTCTAGTGGGACTTAGGTAATATCCCTTTCAACAAGAACATGAGTAGATGCACGCCTAGAGGTGGAGAAGGTGCCACTTTGAGAGGTCTCCCAAAAATGGATGCCAGTGAGAAAACAACTTCATGATTGTATAAATGAAGCTTAAGGCTTGGAAATTCAATCTAAACTGGGACAATTAGGTGTTCAGTTTGAGGATCAAAATCAACAGTCCTTCAGAAGTTTCTTCGCTCTATTATTAATCGTCATGAGCTTACTTACAAAAAGCCATGTGTAATTCCCTTTCTTTAGACAACTGGATAATAATATGTCTGTCATCTAACAATTCAATTTGTCAGTTTCTTTTAAGTTTAAAATTCTCAAAATCACGTCGAATAAGCTTAAGCTTAGGATGCCCATACAAAAACTTCCTCAGCAAAGCCAAACGGCAAGAGGCCGCAAGAGAAGCACGAATCTCGAGGTGTTGCACAGATCTTGATGCCCAATTTTTAAGCAAGTAACTTTCAATCTTTGATTAAAAGTTATTCAGAGCTCTTATATATATATATATATATA